ATTTAGGGAACCGTTGGCAGAAAGGGAAAGAAAAAATACTAATTAGTCATTGCGTTTAAATAATGAATTCAATTAGAATTAAATGAAACTAACTAATGTAACGTAACGTAAGTACTTTAATTATCCAACAAGTACAAATAGAAATTACTTTGTTAGTAAGAGAAATTACTATTTATTATTAGAAATACTAACTAGTAGAAGAAACTTAATTTAAATTATATTAAACACAAGCACGTATCGTAATTACGTGAGATTTCTTATAACTAAAAATGGAAATGTATCGTTGGAAGTAAGACAAACAGACCAGTCATTATATACATTAGTATATGCACATTAGGGCATAGCAACAATTTAATTAAAATTATATTAAACATACGAACTTACTGTAAATAAAAACGATGCGAACAGAGTGCATCTTTATGCACTAATCTGCCATAACTAAAAATTTACGTCCATATTGGGAATAAAAACAAAATACTAACTAATCATATTGTAAAAATAATTGAATTAATCAAATCATATTTAACATAAGCAGGTATTATAGTACGCGAATTTATCTATAACTAAAAATTGAGGTAGTGTGCTGGTTGTAACAAATTAATACTAGAATAAAATAAAAGAAACTAAAATAACTCAAATTAGTTCGTAATTGTTTGAATTTGCTTATAACTAGAAATGTAACAGTATCATAATATATTAAGAATAAAAAATCTGAATGGTCGTGTAAAACTGAGTTTTAAATCCTAATGTTAATTTTAGAAATATTAAGCAGAAGCACGTAGGTATCTGAACCATGCGAATTTGATTGTAACTGAAGAGAAGTACTGTTGGAAAAGTGAGTAAACTAAACAATATCTAGGCAATATTAAACACAAAGAAATGTCGCGAGGACGAGAATTTGGCATTCAACTAAAAAAAAGAAAATACTGTTGTTAGGAAAAAAAAAAATTGTATTTTTTTGTATTTTAAATGATGAATTTGTAATCGTATTTAAAATTTAGGTACCTTGGACTCTGTATTTAGAATTTAATTTTCTAAATTTTATATCTCTAAGTTATGATTAATACTAGAAAACACATTTATATGAAGCTAACCATAAAAAAATTAACCTAATCAAGTAATTCCTAGCACACAAAATTGCCTATAACTAAAAATCAACGGTACTTTGTCAGTAAAAAAAAAAAACTTAACTCTAACCAGTCTTTGTGTGGTGTTTTGTGTGGTGGGCTTCAAATCATGAATTTAATCAAACGAAATCAAATTTAATTAAACATAAACACGAACCAAAATGTGCCAATTCGACTAAATAGTAAATAAACACTGGATATAGTAAAAAAAATATTATAGAACAAAATCCATCTAATGTAAAATTTAAATTTAAGATTGAACCTAATTAAGGTTCAATCTTAAATCAAGTTCAATTCATTAAACATAAGCACAGGGGATCAAATGTATGTGTATTTGATAATAATTAAAATTGAAAATCAGTGTACATCAATGACCTTTATATACATATCTGGCATAACTACAAATTGAGGTACATATTGGGAATGGAAACGAAATAATAACTAGACATAATGTAAAAAATATTAATTTAACTCAAATTATATTAAACAAGGGCACGTACCTTCGGTACGCGAATTCATCTATAACTAAAAATTGAGGTACTACTGGTTGTAAGAAAAAAATACTCGAATAAACTAAAAGAATTTAACTCCAATTATATCATATCGTGGTTGAATTTGCTTATAACTAGAAATGTAAAAGTAACTTAAACTTATAAAAAAAATGTAAATATTTAACTTGTCGTAGTGTAGTACTGGTTATTAAATCAGGAAGTTAATTTTCAAAATATGACGCATAAGGATGTAGGTATCTTAAGTATGCGAATTTGATTGTAACTAAAGTTAAGTATAGTTTGTAGTAAACAAAAGTGAGTAAACAATATCTAGATTTAGCGTAACGTGAGCAGAGAAATTTAAAATAATGATAACTTCTTTGTCTTTGTATGGTGGTGGGCTCTAAATAATGAATTTAATTAAAATTCAATTCAAACGTGATATGACTGGAGGCAGTTAATTGCGCTGGAATCTTTAGGTGCAAAAGTGTATCGACGGTATCCAGTGGAACGAAGCCCGTTACGACTGGAGGAGGGAAGGGATGGGGAGGGAAAGGAAAACGGATGAGGACAGGATGGGTAAGTGGAAAGAAGAAAATAAGGGGATATGTAAGGATAAGATGAAGGACATATCTACCATGGATGGGATTGAGGGTGTGGTGTCAGTGGCTTGAAACCGCGGGTTAAACCTAACAGATTACTTTTCACCGAGTACCGAGAAGGGACAGATACACGCCACATTCAAGTAACCTCTGCGTACTCTGTGTTTTTGTAACAGGGTACATTAAATGATAATATCAATTAAAATTAATTTAAATCTAAGTACGCCTACTAATTAACGCAAACTAACTTAACATAACGAAAAAAATCCAAACTTAACTTAATCAACTTAGAATAATCACTAGCACATATGATAATTACGCGAAATTGCCTATCTAATAATGGAACGTACGTAGTATTATAACAACTATAAATTAAAATTATATTATACAAAGCACTTATTGTTAATAGTAAGGAAGAATAAAATTAACGGGTCGAAATCAATGGGCTGTATAATTTTGTTAATATGATAAATTTAGCTGAAGTTATATTATATAGAAAAACTACTAACTAAAACATGAAATTAATTTAAATTTTATTAATCATAAGGAGGTAGGTACTGTAAGTCTCTGAAGTTGGAAGTAAAAAAGAGAGTATATTTAAAACTAAATAGTCATTGTTTAACAATGAATAATCAAGAACTTATTTCAAATTATATTAAACATTAACACAAATCAAATATTCTCGAATTTGCCTATAACTAAAAATGGAAAGTATCGTTGTAATGAAAAAAGTACTAACTAGCGTAATATTAAATTCATTTAAAATACATTGTTAAGCCATGTCACAATGTATTTTAAAGTAATTTAATTAAAACTAATTTAAACCTAAATATTCCTATTACGCAAAATTACATTTAACTAAATAAATAGACAGCACCCTTGGTAGTAAGTAAAACAATAAAACACTAACTAGTAATTTTGTAAAAATAAACTTATATGAAATTATACTAAATATAAGCACGTATCGTCAATTGGTTTATAATTTGTCTATAACTAAAAAAATAAGTTCTGTAGATAGAGAGAAAAAGTAAAAAGAATCATAACACTAACCAGTCTTTGTTCGGTGGTGGGCTCTAAATCATGTATTTAACACAAATGATTTTAATCCTGATCATGTATCGTAAATCCGCGAATTTGCCTACAACTAAAAAAGAACCGCTATTGGTAGTAAAATTAAAAAAAATATGCATTAATTGCCTAACAATGGTCTGGTAATGAAATTAATTAAAATTATATTAAACATAAGCTTATTGAATTAACTATAACTAAAAATCGAGGTATTGTTCCCAGTAAGAAAAAAAATAAAAAACGAAATCATAATAAGACATTGTGCAAAAATGGACATTAAGTGAAGAATTTAATTCTAATTATATTAAATACGTATTCAAAGTACGCGAATTTGCGTAAAACTAAAGACTACTTTACCTACAATATTTTTTTTTTTGTTTTATATTATATATATCATCTTTCACTAAACTATCTTTCTTAGTCTAAACTAAGCCTACATGTATACATTTAGTATTCAAGACGAAGCATGCTCAGTGTTTGCTACAGAATCGTAATAAGCATATAACACTGAAACATTGCTAATTATTTATTATCGATCGCTAATATGATGATGAACACTACCATTTTACAGATCTACTGAAGTATTACCTAATCAATTCAGTATATTTAAGTATCTACCGCCATTTTAAGTAATACCTATCAATATCAATTAGCTATTATGTAACCTAAGTGTTGATTATGACAGCTGATATAAAGTCTTATTTTATTCAGAATTGAAATTTCTAGTTATTTAATTATGTGCGAATTATTTGAAAGAGATAAAATTTTAATTGTTTCATACGTAAGCAGCTATGTGAATAGTAAATTCCATCAATGTATATCTCAGAATTATGACTAAAGTATATTATTTAGGAATGATTAGATTATTTAGATTAATAAACATTGAACTATAACTAACATTTATATATTGATACCTATATCTATAATTCACTTAAGAAACTATAATTTTAAAGTCAAAAATACTACTAGCTCTCTAGGAGAGTACTGTTGATAAGCAACAACTGGCACTTACAATTAATACTATTACAAAACTTAAAAAGGGCAAAAATAAATCAATTTATAGAAAACCTTAAGAAAAATAAAGAAAGTGTCTAATATTTCTAAATAATTATACCTAATCGACTTATATTTACTTTTATAAAATAATTGACAAACAAAACACAAAGAATCGGAATATACCTTACACGATAGATATTGACGTCAATTATACTGTTATTGGTATAACTGACATCTTAAAAATAGGTAATTCTTCTAATATACCTATGTATATTAGAAAAATTGCAATTGCTCAACTACATGGATAAAGAAGAATTGATTAATATTTATCATATGAGATGTTGCAGCAAAATATTCCACTTCAATAGCGCGATAGTTTCGTAAATTATAGTATTTTATGTTTAATTGTTTAATGTAAGTAGATAGGTATTTGTCAAAGATCATACATATATATCTAAATCTAATTTATCAAATAGTTGAGCAATTGTTATAAAGTAGGTGCGTATTATGCCACTGCTGATCACTGCTTTATTCTTAGATGTTATTCATAGACCAAAACTACAACTTACTACATTCGAAATTTCTACAATTATTTGCTACATACACGTTTTAGATACAATGTCACTTTTACGATGCTAATTATGGAATGAGTCGAAATTAAAATAAAACAGCAGTGAAAACATAAAATTATAAACGAAATGTGGGGTAGAACATATTTAAACTGCCTTGTTCATAGACTGTGCCGAGCGGAGTTTTTTACGGATCCTAGGTGAACTCCAACGAGGAACGACCTTTGTATCCTTTGGTGACACACCTTCGTCAACGTCATCCGCTTCGGTCTTAATTTCCATTTTCTACAAAAGGAACGACATAATAATATAATTATGTCCTTTATATACCGAGTTAATTAATTTACCTTCTGCATAATGTTAATTCTTTTTAAGATTAATTTTTAATATTTTATGACATGTATTTCGAAGTGAATCAAATTGTCAAAATAATTTTTATTTATTAAGGACGTAAATAGGATAATTGCGGGTGTCTACATTAATAGTTATTTGAACTGTTGCCATGTAATACCAATCCTAGAAACAATGTTGGATAATGGTACCACTAACACATCCTGTAACTTCACTGCTGTCTCTCACACTTCACACCAAAAAAAAAGCTGATGAGTTAATTGCTGAATTTAATGCGAATGAGATTACCGTGACTACTACTTTGCAGATTTGTATAAAGTATTCCTCTGAAGAACTTAATATCTAGAGGTACTTACCTGCACAATCAGTCTGACAAGAGTATGCTGTTGCTCCAGTAGCTGAGATATCTCGCGAATGCGACGCTTTTGCTTGGCCAATTCAGATGCGATGTAATCCTCGTTGCTCTCCAACACCAAATCTAAGCCAACTTGAATAAAAATAGAAAATAGTTAGTGATTTCTTAAAAAATATAATCAATCTAAAAAAATAAAATCTTAAACTGTAATGAATAAAATGAAATCAGTAATTTAAATGACTAGTGAAATGACAGTGAACTCTTATTTGAATAAGAGTACTCAGTAATTAAAATAAAATTTTCCTTTAAATTTCCATTTATTTTGTATAATTTCAAAATATGAATCCGATTACTTGGATAGATTTATGTACATTTATCCTAATAATTAGTAGCTATAATTTAGAAATACTTTATTAACTTACCATCATCAGTAAACGGATCGCAGAACCATTTTCTCAAGATGAAATCGAGTATTCCGAGTTTGCATTTGTTTGTATTCGGGTATTCAATCAGTTCGTCTTTGTCTACCTTTTCAAACAGTACAGTTGGCAGTTTCCTTTCCAGCTCAGTATGTAACACCACCTTTGAACAAAGATAAAAATACAAACATTTTCGGGTTAATATCTATAGGTACTACCGCCATTTCATAAATTAGATAAATACAAGCTGTTATGGATACATACATACAATACCATGACATGACCTACCGCCACCTTTGGAATAAATATTTTTGGCAATATTGAACTCACAACCTTTTTTGGTCAGATTCGGGTAGTAAACTACTAAATAATGATAATGACAACTATTATCTTGAACATAAAGTCGATAATTTACAATGCTTCTATCCCCATCTGGGATATCAGTTGTGTCAATATATATAAGCTAAATAAAATTATTTTTAATAATTACCTGCATAGCCAAACGTTTCAGTTGCGCATTCCTCCTTACACTCTCAATGTCGCCTACAGCCAAACCAATGAGCAGATTCATCAACAATATCGGCATCAGTACCATGAACAGGCCCAAGATCAGAAATGTTGGAAATGGGAATGGTAGCAGAATATCGGCATCATCTTTGTAATATGGAATGACATATGTTCCAACGAAATCAATTTCGCCCAGCATCATAGAAAATGTCCTCATTAAAGCCATTGAAACGCTATTGAAAGCCAAGTGTTGACCCTGAAAATAAGTTAAGTCAGTATACGATAGAGGGTAGAATAGACTAAAAATATTCGCTTGGCCAGTATAATTCGCTTTTGCGTTCAGACTTGATAATTATTAATGAATATCAATAACTGAAATGCATATATTATTGCTACTATTGTGATAATATATGTATTTCAGCTATTGATACTTGAGTAGATCTCTGTTTAGAATTATTGTTAGTTAATAAATTTCTAATTCTAAATAGTTAATGTAATTCTAAATAAAGAACATACCAAATAATATATTTTTGTAATAATCGCTACAGATATGTCTAAAATTTCATGACGTCATGAACGCAAGCCAAAGTATAATTGCCTACCATTTATAAAAAAACATCTCCAAATAATGTTAATTTTAATTACAAATTAACGTTATTTAGAGGTGCAAAGCATTGATAAAATATTACAAAAAAATACGCTAGCTGAAAACCCACTTTAGTGAGTAGAATGAAAAAGGAGAATCCAAATGCAATGATCAGTATGGAGAAGATCATCAGCACTCTGATGAGGGTCTGCAAGATTTCCAGGAACATCACCACGTAGATACCAACTTGGTCGAACCTCTGAAGGAGCAGTAGGAGTTCGAACCATGCCAAGAATACAGTAAGAGCAGCAGCAGAAAACTGTAAACAAGAGATTAATTAGCTTGTATCAATTTAGCGGAAAAAAATAAAATCTATAAAGAGATAATATAGAAATTTATAAGGTATCTTTAAGCTGATACGTTGGGTATTGTTTTCAGGCTAGGGTTTGAAAAGCGTGTACGTAGATTAAGAAATCTGCGTGCTATATAACTAATTAAAATAAAGTAACTAACTAATTTAAGATATTACACTACGCAGCAATTTCAACATGTTTTATTTATCGTAATATTGAAATACCTTGTGTCCGTACTATTGGCAAAGCTGCAACACTTCGTATTAGTAAAATAATATACATATATAAAATTGTTTATATTTTAATTTTATTTCAATTCTTTAGTTTTATGTATTACCTGTAAGTCAGTGTAATTGCCAGTCAATGCGGGGAGAACCATAAGCGTGGAGGAGATGTAGAGGGTCCAAGATATGAAGTTTGAGGGGTCCACGAAGTAGCGCCATTTTTGTTCCTTAATGTTAACAGCTTCTCGGACCAAGCAGATGGCGTTGTAGACAAGAATGCAAATCGTGCTGGTGTACATAGCTACGACGATCTCAAATTCTACAACACAGATTAATTTTTATGTTATTTTAACAAATATGAAAATTTTTTATGTTACTTATTCGATATTTTTTATATGGTAGCATAACGCCTTAGCACTTCAGAATGTTAAGGTGATCTTAGGGATTGATATATGGCCGATTATTAGCATTTACCATCAGGTATGCTATCAACTAGTTTGCTCTTCCAGTTATATAAAAAAGTAATTTAGCATTAAATTAAGACGATGAATGACGGTGTAGTTTTTTATAGTCCTTTAATTAATACTAAACTAATAAATACAAATTAAATAAATAAAGTTGAACAGCTAAATGAAAAAAGAACAAAAGAATTTTAAAGCTATAAGTACAAAAAGTCATTACCAGCATGAAATCCAGAAGTATCATTGTTATTGGCACTGCTAGTAGTATTCATTTCTTTATGGATCTTCTGCGCGTGCGATGTAACAACCGTTGGTATAGCACTTATCATCAACAGGTACGCGTAAATTGTTACAAATGTTAGGTAAAAGCAGTAAAATAACAAATTTGCCAAATGAAAGTATTTTCCATATGAGTTCCACTTCATTTGCAGATACTTCTGGCTCAGTGGGTGAGCTAGTAATTCAACGCGTCCATGAGCTACCATTGCCTGTAAACGGTAAAAATTAACATATTCATCATATACTTACCATGAATCAGTTTACCGAGGCAGACTTTGTAAAAAAATCGTTTGTGTGTATTAGTCTCACTTATTTGAACTGCCTTGTTATTTAATAGGCTGCGTTTTGGTTGAAGAATAAGATAAGGCAGTGAAATTATAAGAGATGATGCATGTGTTATATCACGGGAGTTAACGTTGTTAATATGTATAGCCTATAGTTACCACTTATCCATCAGATTTAATATTCCAATAACATACAACAATACATATCAATAAACGGGTATCATTAATAACATAATTTCTGAATTCGGAATGCCAACCAAGTTATGGGTTGAAGTTTTTGGAACACCCCATTTGATGATAAGTGTAGCCGTCACCAATATATTAGTACATGAACAACATTATGATCATCACTTAATACAATTGAAGTATGTGGTACTTCATATGTGTTGTCATTTGTTGAGTATTAAGTTGTTGTACATCTCAACCTTGTAATTTTGCTGCACTATCACTATCCGCACAGAACATAGTTTGTTTGCCTAGGCAGAATATAATAAAAAAGTAACAAACCATGCAGACAACTTAATAACTATGCTGAAGTTGATACATAATAATAAATTTTAATTACCAAAATGTTTAACATGGCAGAGACTAAATACTCCCGCATCACACCAATCATAATGCATTTATTTATTTGTTACCAGCTTACAAAAACATACCTTTTCAATTCAATGGTTAATTTATACGAAAACAAAAATCAGTTCAATGATGTCTATTAGGGAAGTTTACTAATCTAATAGAACTAAACACAAGGAATGTTAGAACGTTGGCCTGTTTGTCAGTATGTTTTTTCGCGATAATCTCAATAACAACTAAAATAGACACGGTTTTCATAATGGAACGTAAAGCTTTGGTAAAGTATACTTTAAATTTTATCTTTGTTTTATTACAATCACTTTATAAACAAAAATATATATGTGATAGTATTCGCTGGCCTTGCTAGGACAAAATAAATCCTTTTATGATTGGTGTTAATGGAGCTCTTCAAAGTTCCTGGTGTGCATATCAACAGTGATATTGTTAAATTATTTACACGAAGCATACATAACAATCCAACCACCAAAGACCATATCCATGTGTGTCATAAGGTGAGATATAAGCGTGGCTAATATACAAACGTGATTGAATACCATGGTGTTACTAATATCTTCAGCAGTGGTAGTATATATACTACTCTAATTGATTTGTCAAAAGCTTTAGTAGAGTAGACAAAATAAAAGACTATAAAGATAGGGATAATAACTGGCGGGTAAATGAATCTTTACTCATCAAATGAAAATTGAAGCGATTTCACAAGTCAGTTCACAACATATGATAATGCCCTTCATATCAAGTGAAATCGCATATCAAATCAAATCAAAATAATATATCTAATATGGACGTAGGTTCGAGCTAAGAAAAACTGATAAAAACTCAGTTTTTATTCTTTTCAAGTGTGCAAGTGTATAAATTTTAAAAAATACAGAATCATTAGTGTATTAAATGTAATACAAATATTTTAGTATCGTATGTAGGCCATTTTAGTATATCTAAATTTAATAAATGTTATGGTGTAAGCGTAAATAGCCTGCCTCAATATTTGAGGTTGACCTAAATAGCCAAACCTAAGAATGAAACTAGGGAACCTATATATACCTACGTATTATATTATACGTATATAATATTGTTCTTTAAACTACCGAGACATTTAAGCAAATATTCAATTAATCGCAAAATATAAACGTCGATAAAAATCAAATACCTAAGTTTAGTATAAAGTAGTAAGTAACATTTGTATTCTTTAATTGAAATTGCTTTATATAAAATACTATAATAAATATGATAAAAAGCGCATAATTTTAAATTAACTATGTTCAGAAATCATTAAAGGAGTAATTTAATAATACATAAAAATTAAATCATTGGTTATCAATTCTACACTACTGAAGCTTTTGAAAAATCATCCCAAACTACACGTTATAAGAATTTTTAAAAATATCAAAAAAATATCTTTTCAGAATCCATGGCATTCACGGACGGACAAACAAGCTATTGTATGAGTACTGTAGTACTTTCCACTCACGTTGATTACACACAACGGTTCTGGTCGGTATTTGGGGTCATTCAGCGCCAATCTTAGCGCATCTACCTCAAGTTTCGAGCGCTGGTAGAATTTGAACGAGTACCTAATCTGTACCAAGTGAGAAACATTAAATAAATATAGTATCTTATTACATTGAAATAACTTACGTTTAGGGCTGGCAAAGGTGATTTCTGCGATTTAAGAACGTTGTCTGTTCTCTTATCGTTGCCATCTTCGTCCTCCAATCGAGGACACAGTGCTTCGAAGTTGTACTTGATCTAAATTTTGCAAGATTATTTTAATTTACATGCTTAATAGCAGCTCGTTGCTAAACAATTAATACAATTTTACAAATAAAACTAATATCTTGTTAGTAAAATAAATAGAAAAGCGAAGTTCGAAACGCCACTAAATTCTTTACTTATAAAATTTAATAAGAGATTTATTCTTCAGTAATTTGACTAAGTATTTACCTTTATGACTATTAACTTGGATTACTATATATTATAATGTTAGTACCTATATATACATATATATAATATTTCAACTACAAAATTCATCTCAACTTCGACTCGTGACAATCCCTACGGTATTTGTAATTGAAGGCAAAAAATATTATCATTGCATCAAAAATAGATATGTTTGTAATAAATAAAAAAATATAGACCATTATAAATAAATTAAACATAAATACAAGAATTATATTATTATTAAAAGGTATTTTCTTCAAATCAGTGTAAAATTATTATATTGCTGGACTCACGTAAAAGCTTTTAGAATCCTTCTTGCAATTAGCTTTCGTGATGCACCTGTCCTGTACAGCTTCGAATACCCGGGGCATGGCGGCGATGAGAGCTAATGTAACGCAGGGATGACGATCAGATCGAAGAGCCATCACTTCCTTTGCTCTAGAAATATATGTCGCTATGTTATCATTACGAATTTATTATTAACGAGGTTTACTTTTCGTATGTTACTACAATAATATATGTATATTATGTTCAATGTATTATCAAGTATAAAGTATATTAATTTGTGTTTAAAATTTGGATATTTACTTGCAAAAAATTTGTAATGAATTTTTCAATTTGGTTCTTGACTATAGTGTAGAAATCATTAATTTTATGCTCTCTATTGAAAACAAAAAGAAATTAATAATGTAATAAATTAATTAATTTTATGTATTTATGACATAGTTTTTAACATTAATGTTATAAATAAATAATAATAAATAAGTACCGTTGTTCATGGGTGACCATAGCCAACGCGGCTTCAGGGAATTTATAATATATTGCATAGTCAATAGCGCTCATGTCCAAGTTATTATAGCAGAGTTTGCACCCCATTGAAAGAAGCAGTGCTATAGAGCGAGGTTTGTTCTCCATGGTAGCTAGATGTAGAGGAGTATTCTAAAAGAGGTATAAAAGTACTTTTTATCACAAGTCACATTTTATTGTAATTATAATAACAATAATATAAGACAATACACATAGCCCCATCTATATTGAATCACTCTAACCTATATCAGCCGCCGAGCCCCTTGCTTCTCGTTACCTATGTTTCGATTGTAAAGTGCGACTTGACAGTGAAGTTACTCCATAAGAGAAATGACTTCTTAATTACTCTGGAATGGCAATGCATGAGTCGTATCACAACGTGATGTCCATTGTGCTGTTGCATATAGGCGACAGTTATCAGATGAGCCTATAAACTTGTTTGCTATTCCAATTTTCTCGAGAGACTACAGCATGGAGTTTCATGCATGTCAGGAAGGTTATATTAAGGTTTCTTAAGGGTCGGCAACGCGTATGTGACACCCCTGTTGTTTCAGGCGTCCATAGGCTGCGGTAACCGTCTACCATCAGGGCCGTATGCTTGTTTGCCACCTACGTGGTATAAAAAAAATTACATATTCCTAACCTTACTACTTACCCCATCTTTATCCATATGGTCCAGAAGATGTGAATGAACTGAATGCAGTAGTTCAATGGTTTGTGTGTAACCGCTCATAGCCGCCAGGTGCAGTGGGTTTCTACCATTATGGTCTCGGTGCAGCAAAGCACCTCTATTGAGAAGCAATTGGACAACCCTTGTGTGACCTTCCCGTGATGCGATATGGAGAGGAGTAAGACCTTCCCCGTCACTTTCGTTGATAATGAATGTGCCTTTGTCAGAATCTAACAGTTGGCAGGCAGTATTAAATCGGCCGTATCTGTAATCAATATAGCTCATATGAATTAATAGTTATTTTATAAAAAAGATACTATAATTATTCATGATTTTTCGTACTGATTAGAGTACACATAAACAATTTTATGAACTATAAATAAATATAGAAATATGTTTTCATGAAACCAATTTAGATATTTAATTGTTGAGTTGAAGTTTCTATTGGATAACTAATATAGGAAAAATCATTAAAGTTTCTGATGGAAATCTTACCACATTATATTTTTTTTATTTGGTCTCAGATTTTACAAATGTCAGAAACTAATTTCGTTTTTAAACCAAAATTACCATAAGAAATATGATACAGCATTTTAAATGTTAAAAAATTAATTAATTTTCAATTAATGATAGTACTTCCCTTATTACATAGGAAAATATTAACCAGAATTTGTACTATGAAACTTACTAAATATATTTTCATGTAAATGAATAAAAAACGTACCAGGATCTACCAGTAGATATTGTATTCTGCAAAAATCGAAGCCGTGGCCTTTTGAAGTATCGAAACTGCACCATTAGAGTCGTTAAACTAAACTATACATAAAATTCATAAATACCTGGCAGCGAAATGCAAAGGACTCTCGTTGTTATTGTTCTTCAGATTAATGCAAGCTCCAAGACGAATCAGATTCTCCAAGGACCTGATGTGACCTTCTCGACTGGCGTAGTGCAGCGGTGAACAGCCGGTACTATCTTTTTCGTTTAGGAGCTTCGCAAGGCTTTTATCGCATCGATTCTAAAATATAATAGATTTAATTAATTTGAGAATCGTAGAATAGTTCTTTTTTATATCAGTGGAATAAATAAATATTTAAGTACATAAGTTGACGGGCCTCGTGTAATGTGTTAAGGTCACCTATATAAATGAATCTATATGCCTACCACAGAGAAACATGAAGACTGACTTAACTTACAGGCATGACTAGATGTAATGCAAATGTAATGCCTTCGTACCATGTAATTTCACTATTTATGAAGCACATCACATCAACAACAAAGCAAACTGCTTATCATTGAGATAGAGGTACCCCACGCATACCACTATTTTTCTACCTCAGTAACTTTACAATCTAGACTTAGTATTCAAAACTTATGAGTTTAAATCAGTTTGATTAGTTTGAATACTTCTGATATACTCACAGATGATGGAAAAACCGTTAACAAACAAAAAAATGTACGACCATTATAAAAAAGGTAGATTAGATCATATTATAGATGTAATTATTCAATTAATAATGATTTTTGTAATATAAAATGGTTCTTATTTATCCCATTTTAAGATGATTTAATAGACACCAGGGTAGGTACGCTTCGCAATACCATTACAGGATATATGATCAGCATCTCTATCAGTTACAATGTTTTCGGTTGTTAAAACAACTACCGAAATCAATGTTTACACGCCAAATGATAAATGATGATGATGACTGATAACGTAATGATTGAAATCTGATTAAGTACTACATTGTTTTTCTACACCTTTAACAATAATTTAGTGCTGCTTAATGATTGACTGATAAACAGCGCTACTATGTATTAAGTGCATTGCAAATCTATACCTATAATATAAATGTAACTGATCGCTGTATGGTAGATTATAAATACATGATAAACGCATAAATGAACTTCCGATTAGATAGCAGCAATTGTATAGATAATGGATTTAATTAAATAAATATATCACATCTTAAAAAAAAACTAGTTTCAATTTTTCAATACAAATCGGCAATTTCATACTTTAACCCCTATGTATTAGGGCGAAATAATATTATTAGGAATCTTATGTGATAAAACCTTAAATAATTGTTAAAAATTTAGTCAGTTTATCTGTGTGCTTCCGCAAGCGATATTAAAAATAACGTAACCGATTTAGTAAACTGTTGTATTATGATAAAATTTATTAACATTTTTGTCTATTTTTGTTCCAATCGATTTAAAAACAAAATTATTATTAAAGAAAAATCTTATTCAGAATATCAAGTGTACAAAGTTGCGAGTATTTGTAAATAAAAATGTTTGTATATAATATATATTATGTACCATAAACAAACGACCATGTCTATCATTAACATCCTTATAATTACGGCATCATGGCCAAACACCTAGACGTGTTAATTAATCTTCATTTTAAAGTTATTCTTTGATATTCTACACTGAAATCTACTAAAGACTAAAGAGGCAGAAACTACGTAAACAACCACAGAATTATTCTTTTACCATGGCTGTAGAAAAGTATTTTACGAAATTATCTATCAGTTTAAGAAAAAAATTATGAATATTTTAACTGACATTAAGTGAAAAACCTGTATCTGTATGACTCTGAAATAATTAATAATTGAGGGTAGATATATATTATAATTTATAACGTAACTTAGACTAGTCCTTTCTGATTTTTTGTATTATTTCTTTTTTCCAAAGAAAGAAGTATAATGCTATAAAAATATCATGCAAGTATTTATAAATCCATAGAATCGCGGATTAAAATAATTTTAGATTTATAAACTAAGATTTCCCATGATCCATCAACTGCGTCATAACAAGATGTTCAGAATAAGCTTATCTGGAAAAATTGGGAAACAATTTTTTTCGTTTTTTATCTAATTATTTTCAATGTCGATTTCATTAATCCTTCTTTATTTCCCAATATTGAGAAAAACATTATTGGTAATAAGTATGTAGCCTATTTTTATTAAATAAATAGTTGGAATTATATTGCAATATACAGCCAAATTTAATTACTATTTTTGCAATATGTATAATTTTTATTTCTAAGGATATATTTCCACCTTTTACTTTCCGTCTAGACCACAAGTAAATATCTATCATCCCTAAGAATATTTCATGGTTTATTAGAAACAAAGGAATTTATCAATACACAGTTATCGGTCAAAACAAGGTAAGATACAAGGTCACCCAGCAATTAAAAATATATTTTTTATAATATTTACTTAATAAAGTGCAAAAAGATCTAACCCAGAGTATCTGTTTTCGAATCGATTAAAATTGGAATATTTTTAAGTAAAAATGTCTACTTTACTACAGATTACTCAATGTTTTTAAAAACTTACATTAATAATAAATATAAGTAACTATTAACTCAAATAGTTTGATAAAGTATAATTTATCAAATTATTTGTGTTAATAGTTCTTTATTGAATTAAATATATTAAAGTCATATAAAGAATAATACGTACTTTGCAATGAGCAGCGAAATCTTCCAGTCGCCCGCCGTTCATCACGACCAGATGAAGAACGTTCCTCGAATTGATATCTTTAAGTTGTATGTCAGCTCCCAGTTGGATCTATCACATGAGAAATAAAAAAAAAATATGGTCTAATTCTCCTCATAGAGATTTATGTATATCAGAGCGACAAATTCTACCAGCCTATCCTTGTCCCAATTTGTCACGTATTACCGATATGGTATAAAATGGTGTCTTGCACCATTTTATACTATTATATATACGAAGACACTTGATATTTCTCTGTATTGCAAATCCATTGGCGAAGTAGGTAAATAATTACAAGAACCAAGTAATTAACAATAAGAAAGGTCATACATATTCATTGAAACAGAGTTGTCGTATAACTACAAGTTATCATAAAGATATAACTTTAACAATCAAGATTACACGAGATATAAATATACATTAAGTATATAAGTACATAAGTACATTAAAAGAAATTCAGAAAACATTTAAAATAATAGGTACGATTAAACAACAATGAAGTGAAGAAGTTTTCTTTAGAAATTGAAATCTTAAAAACTTTTTGATACTAGTTACCCCTGATATATTCTGTGGGTAAGTAGATGTTAGAAGGCTTATTTAAATTTTAGAAAAAGAGTTTAGGGTAATATATCTAACTCTGTAGTCACTGTAGCTTTCAATATATTTAAGTACTATGGCTGATGTACCTACATACATTAATAGTACTTTAAAATACAAAATTGGAAAAATATAGTATTGGGTATATTATATATCTCTGCAGTTTATCAGATGTATGAAAAAATAAATTTGTTACTCATATGTTAAGTACCTACTAGAATAATATATTAAACAATAGATAAGGTTTTAAATATAAGTAATTCTATTCTGTGTATTGAAAGAATACCAAAAATAAATTCGTTTATGGAAACCATTTAAATGAAGACTAAATAATATTGAAATGTTGTGCAACTAAAAATTCTTTCGATTCACTGAATATTGAAAAAATTATTTCACTTGAAACAATAAATAAAATTTTACATAGAATGTTATTGTACGTGATTTTATTCTGTTAGTTAATTCTTTAACCGATACCTTTTAAAAACAACCAAGTACCTTCCAAAACACGACAAAGTTTCACATGCAATTTTTAAAGATGACGATCGATAATATATTCTATTCAAATTTGTTTCGGATTATTGTCATATAAGCAAGTATAAGCCTGGGTGCTATACATCGTATTGAAGAGACACTTTAGTAGGGATCATATAAGTTAATAGGGTCGGCACACTATTTTCAGTTATAATGATACGCACAGAATCAATTTTTATAGACGTTTCTGGAAAATGTTATTATAAATATAATATGAATATGAATACACATGTATGTTTTATTGTCTCTCATTCATTATATAGCATAGTAACATAGAAGACCTTAAAAAAATATTAAGATGAAAATTTCTATTAGAAAAGAATCGGTTGTTTTTTATTGGCGTTTGTCCATGTAATGATAAAAATTTTAAAGCATGCTAGAGAAACATTTAAGAAAGCTGTTTTTATAATACCAGTACCTGGGAAGTAGGAGTGTGAAGATAATGAATTACTGATGATACGAACGTTCTAGACCACGTTTAAATTGCGACCTATTTTTGATTCGCTGCCAGTCAAAGATCTCTCGTCATAGAAATTATCCATACATGAATAAAGGAAAGAAATGTTTCATAGGAAACTAATTTGAAATATTTAATTGCAGAATACAAAGGTCTTTCTTATGTCTTCAGTAAAGGCAACGTCAATCCAGCTAGCGTCATAATATACCTAATTCCTGTGCCAATTGTAATCATGCTAAACTATAGGCGACGGTTACCACTTAATATTAGTTTGATTGCTTATCCAATTACATAAAAATTTAATTCTTTAATGAAGATAACAATGATGAAATTTAAAAACTGTATACTTATCTATCTCTATTTATAAGAAATCATAATGAGACTTACCAGTACGTGAACAGTTCTCCAGCCAGCTCTAGATGCTGCGAGCAGTAATGGCGATCTTCTCTCTTTGTCCAATGGATTTATGTCGGAGCCTTCAATAATCAGATAGTTCACAATATCCGGATGATCAAACATGGCGGCGCAGTGCAGTGGCGTCATCTTTTGAACATCACAGGATGTCAAGCAAGCCATTTTCTCTTTGGGCTGCATTGCAAACATCAGTTTTACGATATCTAGAGCTCCCTGTTAAGAAAACGAGTATAAAAATGAATAACATAATTATACAATGCAGCCAGCAACAGATTTTCATGACCAACTATATCTCGTACGAAAACTCGTAAAATATTTCAGATTTGTGTCATTAAGATTCATCCCTGCCTCATGGACTATAAATTTGGTGTTAGTTAGGAGTACAATATATGAGAGGTGTAAAATCTATTTACAGTTATAAAGTATTTAGTCTAAGGGAATCTTGAGAGCTAACCGCTAAAATTTGTTAAAGATGTTAGCGTCGCTCACAAATTATTTACCAATCCAATAAAACTAAATACAACATACACATGGTACAGCATGTTCAATAAAATATCTATCCTTTTTGTATTAAACTAAATTGTTTTTTTATATCTCATACTGCTACAAAAATAAAGCTAAAATATAGTTTCCCTAATAAACTTGACTATCTATAATAAAGGTGAATTAAGTAAAAGAAAAAATAACATTAGTTACGTTAATCCAACATGGAAATTTACCGTCTGGCAGATTATCTAGAAATAAATACAAATTAGGCGAAAAAGTTAATCTCATTTTAATTGGGATTAATAAATTCTAAGGAAAGGATCAACTAAAATATGCTACAAACTCATTTTAACAATTTCATTTATGACAAAGTCAAGGAGAAATCATACCTATCTGAAAGTCGTCTTTGACCTAATTATAATTACGAATATTGAGTACGACTAGTTATTTGTAGCCTGGGGTCCTATTTAATTCTATCATAATTGCCTTGTCTTTGTCCCATTACTTTGTCAAGGTGCAGTACGTCATTATCCACTGATCCATTGTTTTACTTTGCTTTTACCATCTTTCATATAGTCTAGCTATCTATCTATGATTCGTTCATATTTAGTACTTATCACTTTTTAATAAGTAAATAAAAACAAAGTAATATGACTTTGCATTAAAAAGCCTGTCACATAATTAAGTACCGGAAGAGATTAATATATTCTATAAATAACACCAAATTACCTGGGCACAAGCCAAATGGATAGGTGTAGATAAATCATGTTGCTGAGTAGATATCTTTGCGCCAGAACTAAGGCAAAGTTCAACTGCTTTTATGTCACCGCTATGGACAGCTGAATGCAATGGCACATTCCCCTCATTGTCGTAGAGGGATATCATTTGTTCTCTGGTACAACCCTTCGACTCCCCCCACTGGAGAAATACTTCCATGGTCCTGGATGATGCGTTTTTAGCGGCTTCATGTATTGGATAGTACCCGTTGTTACAAGGGCGATTCCATACAGAACCCAAGTCATTTATCTGTTCAGATACAATGTGAATTAAATGTTGGCAACTATACTATCGAGTAATATAATTAACATATTCGAACATTGTTTGATCCATAGACTCATTTAGTACGCTACCTACTGTTGATACAGTATTCAGAGACGATAATTGATTTTAAAATAAGACGTATGACCTTAAGTAAAATGTATATGCAAAAATGAGAAGTCTATGATGAACATGAACATTATAAATTCATTACACTGAATATAAATGACCTATAATTATAATAAAAAAAACTTTATTTCTACTGTAAATTATTATTGTTTCATAAATAAGAGTAAATCTATTTCCTCTAAAGTTTAAGACTCAACGATAACAATGAACAAAAATGTTTAAATGTACAGAAACAACCAGATATTATTCTATTACCTATAAGTAATACTACACCGCAGCTAAGCAAAGAGGTATAAGTAAAATACTAGCAAATTTGAAGTAAAATATACGAGCATATGTTATATGGATGAAACAGTGATAAAAGTAAAAGAATACCATATAGAATACAATACTTACCAGAATTCGTGCACATAAGTCGTGGTCGTGAATAGCGGCGAAATGTAAGGCTGTCCTGCCGTGTTCGCCGCCGAGATCAACGTTGAATTGAGATTTGTATTTGGCAAACACTTCTAGAACTGCTACCTGAACATTAAAAATAGTATCTTTTATATTTTATTTCTTAACCAGGTCTGTACTCTATAGTGGACAGTTTATTAATGTTGAAATGTACTAAACTGGATCAGTTTTATATGTCCTTTTATAATGTATTTTATACTGCAGAAACAATTCCTTCTACGTCTTTACACCTACGATTTTCTGCAGAGGAAATATTGTTTAATTATATTATTCTTATTTACTGAAGAAAACGTCCAATTAAAATGCTATATTCGCTTCAAGAATTATTCTTAGTAGTAGTAATAAGATCAAGTTGCTACTCAGTATTATTTTATTTTTATATTTTTACCCGGAATTAAAACTAGTCCATCTATCTATATCGTATATACTTTGTTATAAAAATAATGTGTATCTCTGTATCATTTATTTCCGTCGACAAACAGTTTATTTATAAGTTGTGTTTCAGTTGAGGAGTAAGATACGGCAGAAAATGACACAGTATGGAGGTCTGATATTTAAGACCACGGATTATAAACGCAGGGTTGGTAACCACAGACAACACATGATGACGTGACAGCAGTGGTACCACTCAGTGGGTGTGTTTGTCAGCCTGTTTGTCATTCAAATCATGTAAAAAATACAGAACTACCTAATTATAGATTTACTTAAATTAATTTAATACAAATTTCTTTTCAGGGGTAGAAGACCTCTGATAAGAATATGACTATAAAAGTGAAAGTTAATACACCCTTTGTCTCTTATAGAATCAAGTCTGTCTCCGTCTTGCATTACTTTGTCTTTTGAAGTGTTGCGAACACATAAAAGTAGCTAGTCTAATCCTTTCTTGTAGCTAAAGTAAAATGAAGTACACTAATTAGATAAATAATAATGTTATTAGAATAGGAGTAGTTGCACTACACAATAAGCAAGAAGAATCTGAATCGAAATTGCATGTAGACTTGCTAGACACCGGCATTTCTTTCTTATGTTAGCTACCTGATGGTAAAAGTTACCTTGATACATGAACAGCACTAATGCTTTGTAATTCCGGAGAACCAACATATTATGCTCGTATACCATATAAATTCCTTTCCTATATTCTACTAAAACGCATGTTACAAAGCACAAAGCAAGCTATTTGTCGGTTTAAATAGGTTATATAGTAAATTCGTAACATTTCATATTTAATAAAAAGTTATAATATTATTTAATTATAGTTACCTTTTTAGTATATTACTTAGCACTTTTTGCAGCTACTTAAGAAACGAATTAGTTTGCAATTAAACTGTATTTCTATATAAGTACCGTAACATTTACAGCTATATATATATATATTTTAAAATTGATATTAATATTGAAAGATATGAACAAAAAGTGAATAACTCAATAATATTCTACCAACAAAACTGCAAGGGAAGTGACTAATTGCAAATACACTGAGTTCGTCACTCAAGTATAAAGTCACTCTGAAAATTTCTAAACTGGAAGGTAGTTGGCGTACAATTGTTGAAGTAAGTTAAAACTTTTTCGTTCGTTTAAATCTACCCTCCGATATTCACTAAAACTTATCATGAGTACCTTTATAAAAGATTAAATGGTAAGGTACTATTATTATTTCATAAAAACAAAATATAGTTCAACCGAATAGAGATCCGAGAGATGATTTTTTCAAATTCAAATTAGTTCAATAGAAATGTAACCGAGCTTAATAAATTGTTTTATAGACTTCAATTGTAAAATTACATAACACTGTGGTGTTTTATTAGAATTTATTAGAATATTAAAAATTGCCTGAATAAAATATATATACCATTCTTACTACTTTATAATTAGAAGAAAACTAATGATGAAGAAACCATAATAAAAAAATATGAATGAACCATTTTTGTTAACGATTGAAACAGACTTTTTAGTGGTATCTAAGAGTTCGTATCTATATACATATTTAAAAATAAAACCTTATTTTATTCCTTTATGCATACCTGCACCATTGTTCAGATTGAAACCTTAATAGGATCTTATTACGAAGTCCACTAAGGTTACTAGACAAAAGAATCGATAAAAATAAGGACATAAATTGTTCTTTTTTTTATCTTTGCGCTGATATGATATAACCAAACTCTTTTACTCTGCACTATATTTCAACGTAAGTGTGTGTCGGTTACCTAAACTTAGTATTACAATAATTAAGTTCTTACCTTGTTTAATTCACTCGCCAGATGTATAGGCGCCTGAGTTTTCTCATTCAATGCACTCGTATCGACGTGTCTGTGAAAGGTAGAGGAAATTTATTGCATTTTGACATTTGAGGAAAGGAAATAGAACAAAAAGAAGTGAAGTTGCCTTAGAGTCACGTTAGCGTTTCATTCAATTCCTTCGACACAGAGAGAGCGAAATCGTGTTTCAATTTTCTTTCGACGCCTTTCGGAGAGAGCATTTGCGATGCAAAAATAAGAATAAAATTGCATTGAATTTAAATTCTAAAAATCTAAAATGCTTACTAATATTATAAATACAAAATTGGCCTTCTGTGAGTTACGTTTTCACAACTACCATTAACAGCGGATACCTCCGAACACTGTAATTTTTCTGCCTTTTCTCAACTTTTAACTGAAACACATGTAACATATTCTGAAATAGGCCATACAGAGATATATGTATTCTATGAGTATACAACTATGGGGTTATGGAGACATCCAAATGATGTCATCAAAACCTTTCCTGCATCAATTTATTACGGTCGGTGCAGTATACTATCATCTTCCACTGATCCCTGTAGGTATATCTGAGCTTACTCTTAATTTATAGATCATCTTTCACATAATCCATCCACATTTTTTCATTCGTCGTTTATATCCATCTACGTTCATATTAAGTACTGTCTTCAAGATAATGCCCTCGCTCCACCGTAAAACATGTGTCCATATCAAGACAGTATAAAATATAAACAAAGAAATAGTAAATATATAGTATAAACTTTAAAAAATAAACCGGTTGAAGCCGGTTAAGAGATTTATGTATACCTTTATTTTTAATCTACGATATAATGTACCGAAGTACACTAATAGAAAGAAGCTCCAAAAAGTATTATGAAATGCTTACTGCTGTAATAAGAACTCGATAGACTCGAGAGCCTCGCTTTCTACTGCAAGATGGAGCGGAGTATTCCCGTTATTATCCTTGGCGTTCAAATCTAGAAAGGAAATGAGAATATCTATGTAGTCTAATTATAGTCTTAAGTATTGATTATCAGACAGAGTCAGATTATACTACTCTGTCTGATAATATTTTATACAGATGACATTTTATATATATACAATGAACAGGGAAAATATCATGATACTTGATACTACACGATAATTATGAATATTATTATTGAAGAAAAAATAGAAGGAAAGAAGGGAAGAAAAACAAAGACACATTTTATATAACTGTCCTGGTTTGATTAATTAATATAAGCAGATATTACATCAAGCAGCTATAGTTAGATTTGATTTATATCAGCATATAAAAGGAATAAGAAGATGGTAGAATTTGATAAGAGTTCACTAACAATGAATGAGTATTAGTTATAAATATAAGTACTATGGTTGTCAAGGTTTATAAAACAAGAAATTGAAAGTTACATTTAAATAACTTTGAATGAAATTCAGTACACGATCTGTTTATTATATTGTGTTCTATTATTTTGTCTTGAATTAAATGTAAAAAATAATTAATCATGTAATATGTAGAGTATTAGAAAAATTGTAACAAATATATTGTTACAATTTTTCTAATTGAATAAATAGAAAAGTAAGTAAAGATTCTAATTTTACACAAAATAATTATTTGTAACAATTCGTGTAACCAAATCTATGGATCAGATCTAGTACAGAATAGATATTCTGAAATAATTTTGTAGTGTATATAAGTTAATGTGTTCACCTCCACCGTAGTTGTTAATGAAGTGCAATATATTGGTGTTATTCCTGACAGCTGCTTGGTGGGCGGCGGTCCGTCCTCGAGCATCCTTCACAGCTAACCGTGAAGGCTCACTCAAGTACAACCGCATAAAATCTTCCACATTTCCACTCTCAGCTGCCTGTTGAAAGATTCATATTAGTTGATGAGCGCGAATATACATAGAATAATACTTTGACACAATATAAAGAATTTCATTTATTTTAGAAAGATAAATGATGTATAACATATATTTAAACATATGAGTAATCGCTGTAATAAACCTATGACGATTATTAAATTTCATCAATAGTATCTTACGTGTATTAAAATTAAAATGAGATTATTTCTATATATCTAGAAGGTTAAATGAAACACGGATATTGAGAAATTATTTATGTATTAACTATTAAAGGAATAATTATGTAAATATTACCATGTTTTATATAATAAAAACCACTTCAATACAAACAAATCTTAAGTATAAACAAAAATACTTTTACTTTCTAATCTTTTGGGACTTCTGAAGGTTTATTTGTTGGAGCAAGTAAATCAGTCCTTCATTACATATACAAATCTGTCCTATAAGTATTGAAGGAATGACTTATTCGCATCAACACCTCTCGTTACTCGGATTGAAAGAACTTCAATATCTTGATCGCGTAAATTGACTCGCGGGTAGAGTGATCTAGCTTCTCCATCTTAGCTATTCCCAGTTGTGATTTAGGCACTCTTCTCATTTTGATTTCAGTCGTTACTATTTACTACACTTCATCTATTCCATTTAGTTCCATCTTCATATTTCAAACGCTGTAAGTAGATTTCTTTTCTAGCATGCTTATTTCACTTTGTAAATTTTTCTTTGGTACAGAGTAAAAGAAGAATGCTTGAAAAAAAGGCCACGTTTTTCAAGATCACAAGGCTTTACTCCAAGTAACTTTTATATATCATTTGACATCTTCCATGGATATATATTCCTTTATATTGTGAGCCTATTAGGATTATTAGAAAAGATTTTCTTACAATCTTATTCCGGGACGCATTCAAGTTTTTATCAGAATGAATATAATCCTGGATTTAATATGAAGGATACAACGAAAGCTAACGTTGTAGGTAATGATCTGTTGCGCGGGAATAATAGTCTATTCAACAACTAAACTATCCCTACAGCGATCTCCACTTTTCGTACTTATGAATTTTTAACAAACTGTCCTTTTGACAAAACTGTATAAGTCTACTAGTAAAGTATAAAAAGCAACAAAATTTTTGGTTTTGTTCCAGACATTACTTAACTGAAATATTTCTCATAATCGGTTGCTCCATTTAGGTGCATAAATGATATATAAGTAAGCAGGTGTGAAAAAACTTACAAATTCAATTGGAAAGAAAGAAAATTATAGATATAATAATAACATACATAAATACATACATTTAAACATATTATTTTGTATATCATTTTTCCCTACCGTGGACGGACATTCACAATTGAATCTGTATACTGAACTGGATATCAGTATAGCTACAGATTCAATTGTGATTGACTGGAAAAAAAATAACTAACATTATATTTTTTTTAAGTTATGTACTCATTATGATAGTGAGTACATATAATATAGCTGTATATATATGACAAAAGGAGATTTACACTTATTGTTATACATAGTCACCTACATAAGTACAAAATATATGTACATAAGTTGGCTTTTTAAAAAACGAAATTCAGATGAGTATCTTTCCAGTTCTTCTCAATTGAATCTGAATACTGAACAAGACGGTAGGTATAAAATGTAATACAAAAACAAATTACGTTCATAAGCGTCTGAAATGTCGTATAAAGGATAATAAAGAAAGAAATTTTTTAATTTCATTTATAATATATTTGTATACTGTTTTAAGTTTGAATGGTCATTATTTATAAGTATAATTAGTAAATCACGGGATCTTACCAAGATAATTATACTTATAAATATATTTCTACTTTAATTACAGCAAATAAACGCTCACCTGACGATTCAATAACTTAGTTCAGAAACTGATAACTAGCGGGTAGATAGTAAATTATGGGCAAACATATTCATCTCCGTTAACCGATCTCCTTTTATTACTACTAGCGAAACTAAATCGAGCTCATCTCGCCACATTGGAAATATTAAAGAAAGAATAAAATGTTTGAATATATAAATATATTACAATGACTGCATGTTTATGTATCCGTAAGACATTTTGCAATCGAGATTTTGTTTAATAAACTTAATTACTAGATACCTGGCTTTATTTAGTGAAATCATAAAAAATATCAGGTTGTTTAATATTGCAAATGCAAGATTCACTTCAATAATTTGTTCATAATTTTGTTAATAAACCGTGTGTACGTCTTCGTAAAATTGGAAATTAGGAAGTTTTAAGTGTAAAAAATTGTAGATAATTTTAATGGAGCCCATTAATGATAAAAATATAAATATAAAAATATAATAAACGGTTGCAACTTTTCACTTTATTTAGTTATAAAACTATTTTTATACTTACGCCATTTTGTTTAGTTACAATTTTTATATTACACACCACCGCTTAAAATACCACAAATACTCGTATTTACTACTACTTATAACTTAGACATAAATCGGAAATAGTGTAGTAAGAAAATTAATGTATTATAATAATGAAAACTTTTTAAAGTCAGGAAAATCTACACACGACTTTCACAGTCGCATAACTACAGTGAACTGAAATGCATCCCGGCAATTTTATAGTAACGGTTATTATACACGGTAGCAATGTTCTATGTGTGAAACTACAAGGATGTTTTAATTATGCAAACACTATTAATATATACATATATACGTAATTATACATAGTATACACTTACACAATTTTGTAACAATAATGTGTTAACTATACTTTGTTTTATTTCACAGGAAGAAGCAGATGTAACGACCAGGCACCAATCGCGGAGCGCACCTGAATGATAGTGTATAGATCTACGAGAACTGAGTTGCGCTACAAATATATCTAGATATAAGATCTAGTTTGCATTGCATGATTTTGTCACTGCAACATTTGGATGCAACATATTCTATTAGAGTCTCATTTATACTTGCAATACAACGCGGCTTTTGACATATGACTTAGGTAATCTAGTTTGAATTGTATTCTATTGTGAATCTCATCACTGTAACAGAGTTAGGAGAACGACGTCGTATGTATTAAACAAAAAGGTATAGGTATAAACGTAAGAAATTATATTCAGAACCATATAAGGTTATATATACGCATAATTAGACGAGTATTTTTTTAATGTCATACATTTTAAATTATTGCTCGGGTGATTTATAGGCACTACTATGTCATAAGACATAATAAATTATACATATTCTCCCGCTGTAAAAATATTTTTTATATAAATATTAAAGTTGGGTATATTTTATAACGTTGTACATTTTAAACTTATACCAATTGTGGGTTTAAACAAACTACAATGTGAATAAGAAAGAAGAGAGAGAAGAGAAAGAATTTATTGATTTTTTCCACAGTAAAATATTTTTTTATTGAAAAATTAAATGAAGGTATTTTTATAAAGTTGTAAATTTTAAATTAAATTGCTCATTGGGGATTTATACACACTACTAAGTGAAATAAGATGAGAATTTATAGATTTTACCAAAAATTTAAATTATATTTTTAAAATTAATTCTTTCTATTGAAAATTTTTAGTATTTAATAAAAATGTTTGTAAATTATTATTATTTATGACGAACAAGTAAATTAATATTTGTATTTAATACAAGTTTTATAATAGGGTAAATAAATTAAATATCTTCTTTAACGCAGAAGTATTCTATAAGAAAAGCTGAAAAAGTAATACAAGTATAACTATGACACTTTAGTATATCCACGGTAGGTTAATGTCCTTAGGATTTTTGAAACAAATCAATGGTTACAATAAAATAATCTCAACCTATAAAAAGATAAAATTATCTCGAAAATCTTAAAATATACACATAGTACAACCAAAAATAACAAATGCATCCATGTAATGTAAAAAAAATCACACAGATACACAAGTTAAGCTATTAACTTTTAATATTAAGAAATACGGTCATTATAAAATGACATTCTTTGTACTCGGTACAAATAAGATAATTTTTTAGGAAACGATATAATATATATAAATATATTATACTCACCACAATATACTGCACGTTGTGACTTGCAAATTCACATTATTACTCACTTCAATTAAAATACCAAAAATATTAATTACTACCCTACAATAGACCTATATTAATGCAACGTCACAAAAATTGAACTATAGATTAGTAAAAGGGTATCAGATATTGTTGCAGTAATATTAAAAATATTTGTACTAAATTACACTTTATTTTATTTAGGATAAAATGAAATTCGGCCAACAATTTGAAAACAAATAAAGTGAAACTAAAGTAGAACATATTTAATATTATTACTATTCTATTCTTATTAAAGTTTAATATGATTTTATTTCAACTCTATATGTGCTATTTATTTTAAAAAATGTGCACAAATAAAAAAGTATATAAATTTTAACAAAGGGAAAAAAATGCAAATTTAAAAAATTGCGAGTAAAATTATTAAAGATTCAAGTATTTTTTAGTAAGTATTCAAATTAAACTATAAAATTATTACACAATAATAGTAATAATGATTTTTAAGTTAAATAGTATTATTATAAATGAATAAGGAACTTTAAGAAATTGAATAAAGACGAATGACTATCGCGCCTAACGTCAGAGCTGGTTCACGGAAATTCTCAACTGAACAGAAAAATGGAATGCACCGATGCAATTTCACAGTGCCGTTTTATAGGAGGAGCTTGCTATTGCCAACCTACTACGATGTATATACCATATATATTTGCTAGCACTGAAGTACAAAATTAATAACTTGTTGACTATGAGAGCGTTCGTTTTAGACTACGGACCTCAACTAAATGATTCTATTTAAGAACTGCAACTGCAGTGCCCTAAATAGCTCTACAGGTATATGACTCCATTATTCATGTACGAATTTCATAACTGCAACATATTACGCATCCGTGTATTTATAGCTATTTAGGACTAGTCTAGTAATACATCACGGATTTTCCCATAGGTCTGGAACGATACA